TTTTTTTTTAATTTATTTTTTTTTTTAATTTATTTTATTTTTAATTTAATTTTTTTTTTAATTTATTTTTTTTTTTAATTTATTTTATTTTTAATTTAATTTTTTTTTTAATTTATTTTTTTTTTTAATTTATTTTATTTTTAATTTAATTTTTTTTTTAATTTATTTTTTTTTTTAATTTATTTTATTTTTAATTTAATTTTTTTTTTAATTTATTTTTTTTTTTAATTTATTTTATTTTTAATTTAATTTTTTTTTTAATTTATTTTTTTTTTTAATTTATTTTATTTTTAATTTAATTTTTTTTTTAATTTATTTTTTTTTTTAATTTATTTTATTTTTAATTTAATTTTTTTTTTAATTTATTTTTTTTTTTAATTTATTTTATTTTTAATTTAATTTTTTTTTTAATTTATTTTTTTTTTTAATTTATTTTATTTTTAATTTAATTTTTTTTTTAATTTATTTTTTTTTTTAATTTATTTTATTTTTAATTTAATTTTTTTTTTAATTTATTTTTTTTTTTAATTTATTTTATTTTTAATTTAATTTTTTTTTAAATTTATTTTTTTTTTTTAAACTTATTAAGGTTTAGTTTTTTGATTTGGAATAAAATTATAATCTGTATTATTCATTATAATATACTTATTATTCATTTATATTATTCATATATATTTGATTGCAAAATGCACTTGAAACTGATAATGTAAAAATAGATACTACCTGCAGAGAGATTCTAGTTAAATTTCAAACGGAAGCCATTTCTATGTAAAATGGGACTGACGACCATGCGCGCGGTACTGACAACCGCCTGAGACAAATAAATCTCAGATGGCTCTGAGCTACATGTCGGATTTAACTTAAATAAACGAAAATTGGACCTACGACACTGTACATTTAAGTAGTAGCTATTTGTAAATTTTTTTTACTATAGATGGAACTAGGATCCGTACAACATGGAAACCAGTTAAATGTCGTTTTTTCCGTGAGTCGGACAGAAAAAGTTTTAATTTCAGTAATTTATTGAATCCAACTATAATTCTTTATTATCGATTGAATTAAAGTTGTTTAGTGTTCTTATAATACGGAATTTTTTATATGATAGTTAAGTGTGTTGTATAGGAAGAAAAGAAGTGAGATGATCTTAAAAAGTGAAATTGACTCGAAGAACTCAAAATAACACATGAATTACCTTTTTGAGCTTGAAGAGCTCAAAAACGTCATAAGTGCAATTTTAAGTTAAGCGCTTAGATACGGAATCAGCGGGAAGTTGCAGAAATGGCCTTTCGGGTCAACCGTTTACCTAATTTTTTTTTTTATAAGAAAACTATCAATTTACCTAAACTAAAGAAATTCTGTTAGCTATTGAAGTTATAGAGAAATTATAAAAAGTGTCAAAGTAGAATTATGCTCACTTTTTATTCAAAGGTCTCATCAAATGTTCATTGATAGTCAATAAATTTAAGTAACAGTTGAAAAATATTTATTTATTCATATAATTTATATTTATAAACAGATAATAAGTTATGTTTCATAATGATAATTATAATTGATTTGTAGACGTTTAATGAATATTTCTTATTTATGTTATAAGTTATAATAAATTATATTTATTAAGTTATCTTATGTTAATAAATCACTGTTTAAATAAAAAATGAAGCTCATTAAGGGGCCATGAAAGAAGATTTGATAACATTTTTATGAGATAATTTTTGGTGCATTGTTTTGAGCTAAATTTTGGACAGATTTTAATAAAATTTAAACCAGGCTGTATAAAGTTGCGATTTTTCTTTTGAATTAATTTTTTTTTTGTAAAAATTTCATAAATAAATTAGTTCCCTGCTTTTATTATTCTATTTTTTATATGTGGTTTAAATTTTATTAAAATCTGTCCAAAATTTAGCTCAAAACAATGCACCAAAAATTATCTCATAAAAATGTTATCAAATCTTCTTTCATGGCTCCTTAAATATTGACAAATTCATTCATCCGGGTATGTGCTAGAACATATTTTTTTCTAAAAAATTGATTTATAAAAGTTGACGTTATTTCTGTAACTTTTTTATTCGGTTTGCGATTGGTCGCTTATGGTTATGGTGGGGTTTTTAAAATAATAAAAGTGCACGAAGCGCACATGATATGTCTAATGTTAAATAAAAGAAAAGTGTTTTGTATATACAGGATACAAAAAGAGTAGCAGATTAATAAAAAAAAATGAAAATACGTTCATCAATTATTCAATAATCTTTTATCTGCTTCGATTAAAAAAATTAATATTTATTACAGTTGAAGTTTTTATGCAAAAATTTCCGTCATCCAGCCCATCTGCATCGACCTCATGTCCGAATCATGATGGATGGATGTATAAGTTATAATTATTACGAACGCGTAACACTTTGTAGTTACTATTATTATTTAAACTGTTATATTCGTATTGTTTGAAAAGATAGATTTTAACTCTACTAACCTTGTCAAATTAATTCATTATATTCAATGAACTCTCAACCACTAAATATATCGATAGGATTGGTCCGATCAAATTTTACAGATTATAGTATTTATTTAAAAATAGTGATTAAACTATTTAATTTCTAAGGCCTTAAAGCAAAAATGCATGACGTTGTTATGATTTCATATTTCTGAAACAGTGAAGTTGTCAAATTTTGTGGGATACAAATTGTTAAAATGTGTATCAATATGCTAAGAGATATTTTTCTTTATGAGAGAAATTATAGAATTGCACATGGATAAAAATGTTATTGGCATAAGAATTATACCACTAATGGCAAAACTAAATCATGAAAGCGTTTTATTTTTAAATTGGAATTGAAAATATGAAAATATCGTATCACAATAGTATGGATTTAGTATCACAGTGGAATGGATTTTGTATTTTTTCACGCTAACACATGTCAACTGTTGCCTCAAGCACAGGTTATACTTTATATTGTTTATATTTATGCTTCTCCATCACGTTTATTACTGTGAAATTATGATGAATGGAAATTATATATGGGCAATAATTTTGTGGAATTAAAAATTATGAGTCGTCATTAGAAATACTGATGAAAAAGATTTATCGGTACATTTTTCTACTACTTGTAAGTATAGCTTCTTCCTGATAAACAAAACTGATTAGACTCTGCTGGTTAATTAATATCTTACTTCGATTTATTAATCAGTCATCGAAATTAAAAGGTTGCTCTGACAAAATTATTTTAATAAATCTTAGAAGTATTGTTAATTAACAATATGACAAGTGACTATATTTTTCAAACTATTTATGCAACACTTTGAATTAAGATTAATTCAAGTTTTAACCTTAATTTTTTAATTTAAAATTTTGTTTTTTTAATCAATGTCAGTAGAATAAATTCTTAAATTAAGAACTTAGAAACTTGCTCATAAAATTTCGTCTCTGTTGAACGGTATCGTATTTTTAATGGAATCACTGTTATTTTTATGTGTTTCAATTTTTGAATTTAACAATTGACTAACTTTTTTCAAGTAAATAAATTGTTAGTTAACTGATTCATTCATGAAACTTATCGAGAGCATAATATAGAAACAAAAATTTCTTGAATTTTTGATATTTAACTCTTGTGTTCATGTGTAAAATCTAAATTGATAAATTTAAGAAAAAAAAAATCTGGAAAACGGTTGACCCTAAAGGCCATTCCTGTAACTTCCCGCCAATTCCATACCTAAACGCTTGAAATTGCACTTACGACGATTCTGAACTCTTCGAGCTCAAAAATATGATGTGTGTGTTATTTTGAGCTCTTCGAGCTCAAAAGACTGATAACAGTTTAATAAAACAGTATTTTTTGAAGTTTCAAACTGCAATAATTTCTAAATGAATAAATCAAATTTCATGCGGTTGGCAGTATTCCACGCACTTTTTCAGAATCTATTCAAAGCTGATGACCCACAAGGTTAGTCGTTTTATGCAAGTAAATAATTTTTACTTTCATTCTCGTAGATCTATTGCAATCAAAGTATGTACAGTAGCGCTCAATAGTATTTTGACAAATATATTTAATTCAATTAAGAATAAATATGAAACACAATAATCATTTATTTATTTTTATAACTTCCCGCTAAGAAAATTGAAAATTTCAAAAATTGGGAAGTTATTTTTACCCCTTTTCCGAAAATCGAGTTTTCATCAGATCTCGACGTTTCGAGGTCCTAGGAAGCTTCCCTGACTATTCCCGCGATGGTGTCCGTGCGGTTGTGTGTGTGTGTGTGTGTGTGTGTGTGTGTGTGTGTGTGTGTGTGTGTGTGTGTGTGTGTGTGTGTGTGTATGTATGTAAACCACTTATAACTTTTGAACGGCTCGGCCGATTGGATCGAAATAAGTGGCGTTCCAAAGGGTATCATAGCCATTAAATTTTGTGAAAATTTGAATCGATTCGGTTTGCTAGATTTTGAGAAATCTCAAAAATAAAATTTTCAAAAAATCGTTTTTTTGGAATAACTTCTAAACGGCTCCACCGATCAATTCCAAAAACTAATCAGCTCTTAAGCTTAAAAAACCACCTCGATTGCCACCAGTCCCATCAAAATCGGTTGATTCGTTCGAGAATTATCGAAAATGAAAAATTTCGAAAAAAGTGTTTATTTCACATAACTTCGAGATTTCTTTTTGGATCGTTTTTGACGAAATAAAATAATTATTAGAGCTTTAAAAATCACGTCGATCGCCACCAAGAACGTAAATATTGGTTGATTGGTTCGTGAGTTATCGTTGTCGAAAAAATTCGGAAAACGTGAATTTTTCAAATTTCTCTAAGATTTTTGGTTCGATCAGTTTGTGTTCAAAAGTATATCATAGATTCTGAAAAACTACGTAGAATACTGCCAACCACGTGAAAATCGATTTATTCATTTAGAAATTATTGCAGTTTGAAAATTCAAAAACTACTGTTTTATTAAACTCCCATCAGACTTTTGAGCTCGAAGAGCTCAAAAGCATAGAAAAGCTATTTCTTTGAGCTCGGTGAGCTCAAAATAACACACAAATTGTATTTTTGAGCTCAGAAACGTCATAAGTGCAATTTCAAGCGTTTAGGTATGAATTGGTGGGAAGTTGCTGGGATGGCCTTTAGGGTCAACCGTAATAAAAGATTTTTTTAACAGCTTTTGAATAATCTACAGAATAGTGTCAAAGTGGTTCTTGTTCGTAACAAAAGAAAGTTAAATTTTTAAAATATTAGGAAAATCGTGGCTCGAAAGTATTTTGACATTGTTGAAAAAAACTAACGCATAATGTTGTCAAAATACTTTTGAGCGCTACTGTATCATAAAGAAATCAGTATAAATAACATAATAAAATGCTTTAATGAAACAATAACACGTTATGATCAAAAGATTCTCTTCTAATTAGAAATCGTATTTCCAAGACTCAGCAAAGGCGGGACATGCATGTTCAAGATATACTATGATAATGATTATTATATATTTTAGTTAATAGTTGCAATTGTCGAGAATAAACGTCGTATGTGTATCAAGATTACAATTTTAATTACCAACAATTAAAAGGAAAATTACACCCATTATTTTCAACTTATGACGTATGCAAATAGTTTCATATTTAAAATAAATAATAATGAGTAATAAGCTCATGGATAATGAATGACCCATTGCGTGTTAACGGGACTACAAAGAATTTTTAAAAGTTGAAATTTTTTATGAATCGAGGCTACTATATATCTTAGAGCAAAGTCTGAATAGCATCATCAGCAAACTCACGATATGCGATTGGTTCGTGACTAACTTAAAACCACTACACTATTATAATAAATAAATAAGAAAATACTACTCTGCAGACTGCATCCTATCTAAAGTTGCACTCTGGAGTAACTTGGCCGACTTCTTTTCGCTAATGCTAAGATAGATCTTTAATTCCATCTGAACCTGGCATATCATGCACGCATCACTTGATTACAATAATAATTATAATACTCTAAGCAATTACTTCCATCTTAATTTTCTTCCTGTCTACACGTAAAGTATTATTTTCTTACTTTTTACGCATTAATTAATTCTTTTCACTTTTTGCAGCTCAATATCATTATTATTTTTTTATTTATACTAAAGTGAATAACATATATTCGTGAAAAAATACTTCCAGCCATGAGTTTAGAGATTAATTAATATTTAAATTTGGTAATAGAAAAACCTTTTATTTGTGGTTATTAAAAGACTACAACTGATATGTTAAATGATTGAGTCAGTGGAATTATTTAAAGACGAAGATGGCACCTATATACATTTTTTTTATAGTCAATGACCTACAGATTAAAAACCTGAATATTTTTGTTGGATAAATGCCTTAGGTCACTCGGTTACAAAACCTCTCAGCCAAAATAACGGTACACATGTCGCGTAGTGTAACGTTGGATCATGAATACCGGTATCGTTATGGGGCCACATACACATGTCAATGTACAAGTTATGTCAAGCATCAAGTTTGTCTGTCATTTAGTATACGTTTGGAAATTTTTATCGCTTAGTCTGTTAATTATGTTATATTTTATTAAAAAGTTATTATTACTTTGTTGCATTTTATTATTTGTAATAAAGATAACTGTTTTTATTTTCACTTTAATAAAACGAATTCTTTATTAATCTGCAGTTATTGTATAAAAGAAAGAAAAGAAAATCAATATTTTACCATGATATTATTTTAATTTAAACAATATGTATCATTAAGAATGTTTACATTTCACGATATACATTACGACATTGATAATTTTTAGCTGACAAATATCAAAATATTATTATTGCTATCCGACATTGTTTGTCACCCTTTAAGTATTAAGAGTGTAATTTGAAGTAAATATCTTATTATTACAGTGCAAAATTTATTTTAATTAGTAGAGTATTTTTCGTTAATGTGAAAAATATGTATTGATCTTATTACAATTCTGCATTATTTATAATTTTTAACTTCCCGCTGAGAAAATTGAAAATTTTCGAAAATCGGAAAGTTATTGGTTTTACCCCAATTTGTGTATTATTTTGAGCTCTCCGAGCTCGAAAAAATAGCTTTTGTATGCTTTTGAGCTCTTCGAGCTCAAAAGTTTGATAGAACATTATTTTTTTAATTTTCAAATCGCAATAACTTTTGAATGAATGAACGGATTTTCACGCGGTTGGTGGCATTCGACGCAGTATTTTAAGCTTCATAAAAAATCTTTGAGTTTGTATTGACAGAGTGGAAAAATTCGGAGTAATTCCGAAAAAACGCTTTTTTCGGTTTTCTTTCGTCAACGATAACTCACGAACGAATTAACCGATTTTGACCGGATTGGCGGCGATCGACGTGGTTTTTTGATGTTGAGAGCTAATTCCCGGGGAAAACGGTTTAGATCTGAACAGATATAATTATATCTGGTCAGATCTAATTATATCTGGTCAGCTCTATTTATATCTGATCAGACATGGGATTGGAGACGTAATCAGATCTAGTTATATCTGATCAGATCTATGCAAAAGAAACGGAAAAAAAACATCAAAATAGGTCAAAAAAATTTCCTGTCCGTCATGTATGAAACTCTGACAACACTGTAGCTTGCGAAAAAAAATGCATTAATTGAGTTGAATTTTTTTTTTTAATTCTTTGGAAGAATTGTAGGTCACCGAATGCGAATGGCTAGGCAATTCAGTGTCGTTTATGTACAATTAATAAAATAAAACAAAAACCAAAAGACTGTATGTGTATGTATATTGTGTATATTTATCCCACTAGACACGTTTGCGCATATCGTGCAATTTTAGCTGTTTCATATATTCTTTTTCACATTCTTTATTTTATTAATATTTCATAATTAAATGAGCATTATGAGTCATGCACTTTTGGATTTTCCAAACTATTTATTAAATTGATACATACATATTTTTAGATGAAGTAAGAGTTCCAGTTACTAGGTATCATTGGTACTCGCGTAGCTTATAATTAACTGTGTTTCAAAGATTTTTAATTATTACTTAAATGACCATTAATTACAGTAAATTAATTTCACATTAAATAAATTTTCTATAAAATAACACGGAAAAATTCAAATTCCTAAAATCGTCGTTAGTTAATTTAACTATTTACAGTTAAATACAGGCTTGATAGTCATCTTGAACAACATTAACTCAAAAGACAGAAAAAATAATTCGGATAGCCCAGACCGGGTAATCGAACCCGGATCTTTTGGTTACACACTACGGGCTCTTTCAGTTGAGCTATCTGAGTCATAGACATAATTTGGTGACCTTTAAGTCACCAAATAATTTTTTGTTTAACAAGATAGAAAAAACGTTTGGAACATATCCCGGGAAAAACGGATTAGATCTGGCTATATATAAACAGATCTGGCCAGATCTGCTAAGGCTATTAACTATAGTTCTTACAAACTCTACCTACTCTCGTTTCAAGCAAGTCTCGTTGGTAAACAGGTAATGAATTAGTCTCTCATTCAATCACAGGTTTTTGCGCGAACTTTTCCTGTATTCAAGTAAATTACTACTGCCTTTGCTATAACACTGCATTCAAGTTTTAAATAAAACATTAGATACTAAGATTAAAAAACTTAATGTAAAATAAAATATTAGATTAAGCTTTATTCTTAAGCAGGGGCTACTTAAAATAAAATATCTGTAAGTACAACATTGTAAATTTTTGTACATCTATTGTTATATTTAATAAATAAAAAAAAAAAAAAAAAAACTTAGTCTCTCAAGCGTCAGGTCCCAGGTTCGGTTCCCGTGCGCGCCGATTTTTTTTTTTTTATGAAAATAATTCTATATAATTGTATATAATTATATATAGCTATTTTTCGTATATAATTATGTATGAGTATATATAATTATATATAATCATTTTTACCTGGGCAATTTTTAAATTTGACCAGATCTGGTCAGATCTTATTATATCTGGCCAGATCTCGTCAGATAGAGACAATTTAAAGATCTGGCCAGATCTGTTTATATATGGCCAGATCTAATCCGTTTTTCCCGGGTTAGATTTTGAAATTGATCGGTAAAGCCGTTTAGAAGTTATTCCAAAAAAACCACTTTTGAAAAAATTTATTTTTGTAGTTTTTTTGCGATTTCTCAAAATCTACTGGTCCGAATCGGTCCAAAGTGTATTGGAAATCTAAGTTTGGTCAAGCCCTTTCGAATGGCACCAACCGCGATCAAATCGGTCAAGCCGTTCAAAAGTTATGAGAGGTTTACACACACACACACACACACACACACACACACACACACACACACACACACACACACACACACACGTCTAGCCTAGCACGAATTATGACCAACACCATGGGACCAAGAACAAAAAAGAGAAGAGTTCTTCTAGAAGCAGTCCACTCGGTACTGCTGTATGGAGCAGAGATATGGGCAGACATATTAAAGCAGAAGACCTACCGGCGAAAGATAGCAGCAGTACAGCGGCGAGGCGCTCTCAGGGTTGCCTGTGCCTACCGCACAGTTTCCGAAGCGGCTGTATTGGTCATTGCAGGAGCCGCGCCCATCGACCTATTAGCGTTCGAAAGAGCAAAACTCTATGACGCTAAAATCAGTGACGAAAACATGAAGGACGCAAGAACGAGGATAAAGGCGGAAACGCAGCAAGAGTGGCAGGACCGATGGACATCGGGAGAGACGGGCAGATGGACGGTGCGCCTGATCCCAAACATCAACGTCTGGCTTTCTCGGAAGCACGGGGATACGGACTTCTTCCTGACCCAGCTATTGACGGGACATGGGCAGTTCAATGCTTATCTTTTCAAGATGGGTTTGCACAGCACACCAACGTGCAAATACTGCCCAGACAAAATTGACAACGCCGAACACACGTTTTTCGAGTGTGATCGGTGAAAGGACGACAGAACCAGCACCAAAGAAACAATAGGCACCACGCTCTCCCCTAAGAGCTTGGTAAGCTGCATGATAAAAAAAGAAGAAAACTGGTCAGCTGTCGCAGCCTACGCGCAGCGCCTTTTAAAAGAAAAAATCGCAGAAAGGGATTAGAAACCAGTAGTAACAAGAAGTAGGTGTCATGAGACACAACATGGACTGGATTGAAGTAATGCTAACGCGGTCCCGTTCCAGTCATCCCTGTAACATCTATAGGGAAAGGAGAGAGGAGGATGTTTAGTCGGTATTGTTGCAAATATTGACTTCCGAGTCCGACATATCCAGGCACCAACACCTAGTCCTGGCAACAACACCAAGCCCTGGCATACGTAAATGTATTTTACCTCCTCTATAAAAATACACACACACACACACACACACACACACACACACACACACACACCCATACATACATCCAGACATACAGACACCATCGCGGGAATAGTCAGGGAAGCTTCCTAGGACCTCAAAACGTCGAGATCTGTGAAAACAATGACTTCCCGATTTTTGAAAATCTGAGATTTTTAGCGGGAAGTTAAAAATTAGGAAAAGGGTTGACCCTAATGGCTATCCCTGCAACTTCCCGCTACCTCCATACCTAAAAGCTCAACAACTCACTT